AAAAAACATACCCAGGCATTTTTGCAAGGTCTCTTATTTCTCATCATTATGTGTTCAAAGGCTTTAAAAACACTTTTTAACCCAAGTTTAGCAGGGGAACCTCTTGTAACACTAATTTGTAACCTTTTATTGCCCCAGCTTTTAGTCATTACAAATCTGAATAATCTATTTTGAAAAATCCATATTGTCCTAGGCAATATTGCCCGGGGAAATATCAACATATGCTCATTTTATTTCTGATCAGTTTGACAAGGAAAGGATGCAGGCAACTGTTTAAAAGCTGTTAGAAGGAAGGAACCTGGAGACAAGGTGCTGGTTGCTGGAATTCTCTGGTGCTGCTGATCTTCAAAAAAATGTCAGACACTAGACTATACAATTCCTAATGAAAAATAAAACCTGCTATACAAAATGTAGGCAAAGAGCTGCATGTGGCCCATTAGGATCCTTCTGTAGCCTCCAGAGCCCCCTCAGAGTTGATGGGGGCAAGATATTGGGCACTTTTTTTCTTTTTTTTGGCAAGGAAGTTGAGGTTTTAGGGAAAAAAAATATAAACCTTAAGTCCTGCAGATTTTTATTTCATCCCTTAGAGCAGTGTTTTTAAAACTTGGCAATTTTAAGATGTGTGGACTTCAATTCCCTGAATTCCCCAGCCAGCATGCTGGCTGAGGAATTCTGGGAGTTGAACTCCACATATCTTAAAGTTGCCAAGTTTTAAAAACATGCTTTAGAGCCTCTATCTCACCCAGACCAGGCGATTTTTAGAATGCAGCCCTCACTATGCCATGCAAAGCCAGGCATGATCCATGAGCCAACAGAAGTGGCTAAAAAAAATAAAATAACAAAAAACATAACAATATTGCTAACAAAAAAGATATACCAATTAGACGCAATACCACTTTAGCCTCAGAAGGAGAATTCTGAAGGATTAAGGCCACTGTACCTACCATTTTTCTCTACCAACTTAACATATCCCGTAACATCCAGGTTGACTTATTTGAAGATCTGGCTCTGGTGAGGTTTGTTTACTGAACAAACCAGAAGAAATATTCCAAACAATCTCTGAAATTTGGGTCTAGGATTTTTTAACATACACATGGGCTATCCATATATACACCTGACATGTGCACCAAAAATTATGACAATTCAAATAAGCCAGTATATTTGATGGATAAGTTAGTGAAGCCATATCTTTCTTCCTGATTCATACATGTGATCACTTTTCAGGACAGAAATTATCAGAGGGTCCATCATAAAATGGTATTATTTTCTTTTAAAAATGGTTAAGAGCACAAACCACAAACAAAGTCTTCAGTGTTCACACTGAGAATGCTCTGTCCAGCCAGCCATTCAGGGTGAGCACAAATGACACTGACTGTATCCTGCAAACGGCTGTGGGAAAGCCAGTGTGGGAGCCATTTCAACTGGCAGTCACACAATAAGCTGCTAGTGTTCAACAACCTGAAAACATAAGGCACAAGGAAAAATGTTGTAAATTGGAAGGCAAAGAAATAACAGCACACTTGCAGTCACAAGGTGAGATTCTTTCCCCCCTTACACCTGCTAAAAATATTTGTAACTTTTCATCAACATTTCAGTATTATATGCTTAATCTTCCTAAAATGCATCCTAGGAATAACAGCTTTAGTATTTTCCATTCCTGTCAACCAACTCACATGCAGAAGTTATACCTAGTGAGAGAGAACTGTTTCTCAATATAGTCAATATGTAATAATATTATTTATGCTAAGAATGTTATTAGAAGTAGTAAATTATTACAAGAATAAATAAGTGGAAAAAGCAATCTGCACTAACTTCAAGAAGCACTGTCAATTCTGTGAGAGGAGGGATACTGTCTTATGGAAGCTATATTCAGATCAGACTTTAAAAGCAAATGTAACAACAATATATTAGCAAAGAAGTGTAATTCCAGATTTATCTTTCTACAAATGCGATCTGTTATGACTAAATATTGACCATAACCTTTAAGCTGAATTGGTTAGTAATGCACTACAGCATAAACTGGTTTGAAATACTGAAATGTGCCATGATGTAGTTTGGTTTAGCATGACATGTGAACCAGGACACTATGGCTTGGCTCAGCAAACTACATCCATCAAACTACAATGAAAGAGAGACTGTATGTGTGTGTGTGTGTGTGTGTGTATACAAAGGATATATATATCCTTTCTTGAGCATAACCTTGAACGTAACTGGTGAAGCAATACATTGGACCCTTTGATATCTAGATGCTTGCCTGACTTTATCTGATTTTATTCTTCAATGGTCATTACAAATATTATTTGAAATATGTAATGCTAGTTATTCTGCATTTTACTTTTCATTAATTTTGCATATAGCCTAACTTAAGGAAGTTTTGCCTCTAAAGTCTTTTTTTTTTTTTAATGATAATACAAAGAAGCCACTTAAAAGTCACTTAAGTGAACCAGAATTTCCTGAATTTTGTCACAGGGAAGACAATTCAAAAGTAATTTAACCAAATTGTTGCTTTAATTGAAAAAACAGAATAAAAAAAGTGTGTTATAGCTATAGGTTCTTTTGAATGCAACTAAGTTATAAATATTGATTGCAATTTAACATTTTGCAAGATTAGATACTTACAATTCTTTAAGGAGAGGCTGGGAAAAACCACCTTCTTGAATAGATACTATTGCATTGTTGTTCAAATCTCTACAAAATTAAACAAGAAACATGTATCCGTGAGTTTGTTTCATGCTGAATTTTTAAAACTGGGATATTTGAAGAGAAAAACTGAATGATCCCCCAAAACAGTATAAGATATACTTACAGATATTCAAGAGCCTGAAGGTCAGAAAGTGCTTTCTTTGTAATTGACTTAATTTGATTTCCTTGAAGAATCCTAGCCAAAAAGATATTTATATTGAAGCAAGACAAATATTCACTGGTATAATAAAATCAAGGCCTTTGATAACTTACTGTTCTGTGCCTTTGTAGCAACATGGCTGAGATAAACCAGTATCATAAAAAATAAATAAAATGAAAAGTATATGAATTCCACTTTATTTTAATAAAAGATAATTTACAAAAGCACATACAACATTTTAGGCAGACCACACGATGGTGCCAGTTAGTGAGCTCCAACAGGATCCTAGAAGAGAGATTGCTGCTAAATTAGATTTCACCTCACAAGCTGGTAAAGAGAAAATTAAATCTTAGACATAGCCTGAGCTAGGAATAGTAAGGGTGACATTACACAGAATACCCTACTCGTACAGAAACTTATGTAGCACCACAGAAAAATAAAGATTAAAACTCTTACATAGTTTTCTAACTTGACTTGTTGACCTATTCCTTAGAGACAACGAGATTCCTGAAGCTGAAATCCTCTATTTGCTTTCTTGCACGTTTTTAGCTTCCTACAGATTCTAACTTTTAATCAGAGACTCAGGAGAACAATATTAATTCTCTCCTTTTCCTAACCCTGGACCAGCTTCTGCCTTCGTTGTAAAAGAACCCAAACTCTTCTTTCTCCAGTTGAGAGGGAGGGGCTGGTGGAAATCTGACTCCGCATGTGACCCAGAGCATATATTGCTCTTTTGTGAATACAGGCAGTCCCCAG